GGAAAAGGACCTTGATGACAGAGGGGAGCTAAAGGGAAACACTGTTGTTCAATGCACAGTGGTCAGAAAAGTAAGCTGACAGTGAAAATGCAATAGGTGGGCTAGAAAACACTGAACATGGTATAGTGGTTTTCTATTAATGGGTATGGCCTCACTCAGAATGCTGTGTTTAGTTGTGGGTTGTTAAAAGGGGTCCAGAGACGGGCAAGAAAAATAAAGAGAGGCCTGGAAAGTTTTCCTTATCAGGAAGCCAGGAACATTTTGCAATTTCAAGAAGAGAGACAAAACAAGCTCACAAAATAGTGGCACAGAAGTAGTAAACTAGAAACTGTGATCTATTTCCAAAGCATCCTTTAAAATTCCTATCAATCACTTCTTGCACAGTGTTCTGTTTTCAGTGCTGCATAATGTTAATTCACAGCTAAGGTAACCTACTAATTTTTATAGATAATATAAATAGATTCCTGTAAAGGCTGTGTTCAGACTTTACTCTGGCAAGATAATTTTCAGAACCACTAAAAACATTATGGGGATGGTGCTTGGTAAGTATCTCTTGGGTCACGGAGGGGGGTGGGGGGAAGGAGGAAGGGGAGCAAACTATATGGCAATTGACTGGGCTAGCTGATCACCATAAATCACATATTTTCTCTATCAAACATACCCTGTAGTGTTCCTTGTTTTATTAGAATGGGTTTAATTGATCTTGCAATTGATGGGTCTGGTAACATAAGCAATCTTTCTGCATCCCCATCACCTATGTTTGCAATGATGTTTGTCAGGGTTTATTAGATTAGGACTAATCCAAAAATGTTCTTCTTCAGTACGATAATCTCTCTTTGTTCAACCAAAATGTCATTGGATGGGAATGTATTTGATTCCCCTCACCCCTTCCTCCACCCTGCCCACCCCCGTCCTGGGCAATGAATGATACGTATAGAACTGTGCTGCAGATTTACTTTGATTTGCTGGGCATTTCTAGCCCTTAGGAAGTTCCTGGTCTCTTGCACCTGCATTACAGATGCATTAACTTTTGTCAGCTACTTTCAGATGTCTGTATTTTGATTAAATTGTAAATTTAGGAGTTACCCTTGAAAAGTGAACATCTACTAGCAGTTATTACTTTTGGCTGTGCGCCCTCCTTCCCCCCCCAAAAGGGGCTCAAGTGAATTAGATGCCCACATCCTAGCAAGTAATCCAAATTCTCCTGAGACCCTCTGTAAATCCCAGTCTGCTTTGTTTGCTGTAGTTCAGCAACTGTTGGCAAATGTTTTAAATGATGACCACTGTATTCCAAAAAGTTTGAATTACTCTCTCTCATTCTGCTCTGTAGTACCACATGGAATGCACTGTGGCAGGCCATCTGGCTAGCTGAGTTGTCTATTACTGTTTGTTGCCTTATGTTATTGTCTTAGCACTAGAGTGGTCATTGTAAACCTAATGAAGCCTGCCTAATTTAGCTTTAGGGTCCAGTCTCTTTTTTTTCAACATTACACTTAGTTTAGACTAGCTAGACTCTTTTCTGATTTTACAGAGGTCTTTATGCTTTAATGTGCATGTAATTGTTTTGTGTCTTAATAGCTCTTCTGTCCCACTAACCTTAAAGCTGGTAAATTAAATACCGAGGTCTGTTTTATTTAACCTGGTTCCCTTTGATTACATGTTACACTGTCATAACTGGTTTCCCTCTTCTGATTGATGCATTTATTCATTTCTGTTTGTGATCCTCTGAGGGGCCTATGTTACTTCTTCAGGATGTGAAATAATGATTTTGCAGTTAAACTGTTCCATGATACAGTTACAATTCTTACAGCATTTAAAGTTGCAATAATTATTTTCAAGAACTTTGAAGAATTATGTCAACTTGGATGGAAATAGTTTCTAAACCCCTGGTTTAAAGTGGTAATATTTTACTTAATTCAGTCACAGATATTAGACTGAAAATATATTTTTTTAGCTCTTCCAATCCCTCTCTTATAGTGTAGAAGTCTCTACGGGCACATTTTAGTGATATGTTCTGTCCTGGTCAGTTTGCAGGTCTGAAGTGCTGGGCCTCTGTCAGTTTTCTCAGGTGACTGTTTTAGACTGTTCTGTCTTGTCCATAAGATACTTTTCCTATTCTTTATCTTGACTGCATTAAATAAAGATATACTGCATTAAATCATTATTCTTCTCCCTTGATTTTTGCACCCTGCAAATATTTCTAGACAATCACCTTTTCTCCATACGCAGATGTATTACAAAACTAAGCTGTACAGGCACATTTAACTATTCTTAAGCTTTCCATATACATTCAGCCCCTTTGGGCTACGGACAGAAATTACACATAAACCGGCGTAAGTGATTGGACACTGGTCCAAATCTGTAACAAAACAGAAGTTCAGTGCACAGAAATTGCTTTCAAAATAGTCAAAACAGGTTTAAGATAAACCTGGATGGGTGTAATATCAGACTTGACTGATTTAGGTCAAATCGGTTTACTAAACCTCTGTCCCAGATCCCCCTACACAGTCAAGTTAACTTACAGTCCCCCAGCATTCCAGGGTGATTTGCACCTCCCCTGCAAGCGCCCCCCAGGGTTTTGCCCAGGGTCAGCATTGCCCTGGCCCTGACCCTGGGCAATGTGCACAGCTTCCTGGTGGGGCTACTTCTGCAGCTGACTGGTTAGTTTGGCTTCTCCCTCCTCTCCCTGCATTAAGCAATGCAGCAGGGGCAGCAGAAGGAGGATGAGGAGCTGCTGGAGGTGGGGGAAGCCAAGCAGTACCTGGGCAGCTGCACAGTAGCCCCACTGGGAAGCTGTGTATGCTGGCCAGGACTAAGGCAGTGCTGCCTAGCATTTTGGGCGGGTGTGGTTGGGAGCGTGGTGTGGGCTGTCCTGGGCAGGGCTCGGCTCCATGTGGAGCTCCACAGGGCCAGCTGTGGGCTGGATCCAAATCCAATCAAGTGGTGGGTGCCTGCCTGCAGGACATATCTAATCAGTTGGTGGGCTGGATCCGGCCTGCATACCGTATTCCCCCCACCCCTGCTTTAACAGCTAGCTAGCCTATTAAAGAAAAGGGCTTTTAATCTAAGTTTTAAATTAAGTTATAAAAGAGCTTATTTTAGTTCATCTGCAGATGGGCTCTTCAGAAAGAACTGTAGATCAAGGCTGAAGAGCTAAGATTCCAAGATGAACCCTGATTTTTATAATCTATGGCTTAACTAAAATATCAAAAAGCTTACTGAATAAAGTAAAAAAAAAACCCAACCCCCCAAAACATAAAAGCATTCCTGATTGTTTTTTACTTCAATTAATATTAATGTGTCTATTATCCTCTTTATAAGCTATATCTTGTCTAAAATTATCCTTGTCTAACCAACAGTGACCTCTAAAAAAAAGTTATTTGCCCTTCCAGCCCTCTTGAATTTTTTAAAATGGCTCACACTTTGTGATGTCTTCTGGGCTGATCATTTCCTTTGTGTCTTCTTGTACCCAAACTTTGTTCAAGTAAATTGAAGCAAATGCTATACCATTTCAAAATTAAGCATATTAAGGCCTGTTATAGGCTATAACTGAAACAAATGCTGAACCAGTAGCTTAAGGCCACCCTGTCCCAAAATGCCAATCTCTTGGGGTTGCTATGTTTATAGTTCACCTCTTCAGGCACATGTGCCTGTTGAAGGGAACAGTCTTTATAACATTTCCAAAAACAGTTACTCTTTACTTTAGCTAGCATAAATTCCTCACCACTCTATGTTGTTAGGGATACCCTAAAGCCAAGCTTTCTTTCCCCCAGATCTTGAGAATCTATGAGCCATTTCAAAACTTTTACTCCAGATATCATTTCCTCCTTTCCCCCACTCTAAAAAGTTCCTTTATCTCTTGAGTTGGCAACATTTATGCCACTGTGGGCCACTACTTACATCCTAGCCCCTGCCATGGGCTGTGGCCTCACACCTGCTAGAGATTAGCCAATGCTGTGAGGGGAATAGATAGAAAAAGGCAGGTGCTAGGATCATGGGGCTTGTGTCCTTTGTTACTGTGGCTGGAGCATACTGCCATAGTTTGGATCCAGTCTGTTCATGGGCTGAATCCAGCCCATGGGCCATAGACCGCCAATCCCTGCTCAGTTTGATTACTGCTGGCACAGTCATACCAGCTGATCCAGAAGCTGTTGTCCTCCTCCACCCCCATTTTGAAATGGCTCATGGAAACTGGTTCATCCTGGCTGTAGTCATCTCTTTATTCAAGTGCTCCATTTAAACGAGTGATTATTAAAGTTTAACAACATGCTATATTAACTCTATGCTAGATGTACTCTCACCTCTAGTGGCATTTATTAGGGCTGTGCAAAGCTTCAGTCGCTGATTCGATTCAGCAGAGATTTGGCAGCCGAATCTCCAAATCCAAATCAAAGCAGGAGACCCTTTAATCTCTCTGAATCGAATCGGAACCCTCCGAATCGATTTGGAGAGATTCAGAAGGATTTGACGATTCAGACATAGATACAGCTTTAAACGTTTTTTTCTACCTACCTGAAGGTATCAGGCGGCTCGTGAATGCTGAGATGGTAGGGTGGATGAAGCGTCCCACAGGAGTGTGGGGGGCTCCCCAGCATGCTCGGCAGCAAACCCGGAAGTGGACCAGAAGCACTTCCAGTCCACTTCCAGGTCCACTGCCAAGTGCAGGCCGGGGGGCTCCCCCTGCATCCCTCACAGCTCAGCAATCGGCCATGGGGGGACCTTGGGTGCCCCTCCTCAAACCCAGGAGGTACAAGTTGCCAATAAACATGAATGGAATTCACACATTATAGCTAGAATCCCCAAATTGTCTTTTGTGTGTTACCTTAACACTCATTGGTTTAACATGGATAAAACAACTATGTATTGAAAATCTATTTCAGAGTGGTAGGAGTAGAATGAAATTGCATGATCTGGGATACAAGTGTAATTTTGGGTTATTGCTTATATTGATCGTTGTTTGGACAACTCTTAGACTCTGGATGTTTTAAAATTTATTTCAGATGGACCCTAACAGAATATCAGAGGAATACATACACTGTTTCAGAACATATCTAAGAACCCATGGAAGCACAGATCTTCAAGAAACAAAATTAATGTCTGAATCATGCAAGAACATGGAACAAGCTATTCAAGGAGTGATGCAAAAGGTGCGTGCAAACTGAGCCAGCCTAACAATTTAGTGCTCACTAGTTCCATAAGCTTGTTCAACTTTAGCAAGCCCTGTAGAGAGAGTTAGAAGAAATCAGTGTTGCTCACTATTTCACATAGTAACAGCAGCTACCTTTAAACTTTGACATTGGATACTCCATTGCATTTATTCATGTGCTCCTTGGTAACGGTTAACCACGTCTGTACCCAGACTATTTGTGCTTTGACTATCGTTCTTTAAAAAAAATGAAAAAAGATTTGGATTCGAACTTAAAGCACTATGTTTGTGGTTAGTTGATTGTCCCATTTGTTACTCAGTCTTGTCCAAATGATAGTAATTTATTTCAGCACTTGGTTTTAAAAATGTGGGCATATCTATTTTACTTTGTCTTTCTGATTGCATCTTTGGTGATGCAACTTCATTTCTTCCTAAAAGGCAATTGCTAGGCAGAGAGGAGGTGAAATATAATGCCTTTGTCTGCCCTTAATTTAGTTTTTCTAAGAGGCGATAGTGTTTATCTTCTTTTTTCTGTCCTCCTTGCATGGAGTGGGATTCTGGGATTCATGTGACTTTCTTATGCAGGAGGCAGTAGCTCTTTCTCATTTCTTTCCACAAAGTAAACAGTCTTCCACAGTGCCACTTTTTTCTGCTCTCTGTGGGGACCACTTCTACCCAAGAGAAAGAAAGGGCCAGCAGAATGAGTTGATATCCTGAGCTTTGCTCAGCATTGTAATCAGAGAGCAGTGGTCTACTGGGATAATGAGGACAAATACAAGAAATTGTCCCAACTGATGTGAGGCGCAAAATAATAGGAGAGTGCCTTACTGTCACTGAGAATATGTAGCTGGAAGGAAGCTAAAATTAGAGAGCATTTTCTTCAAAATCATTTTAGAACAATTGCAGTGTACAAATGGAATTTCAGAGATGCTCATTAGCAGCTCCTTTGTGTTAACAAGACCAATGCAATGAACATTGTAACAAGGAAAGCTTGATTAACATGATAACTAGGCAGGTCCTGCCTGGCAGCAGAGTGACAACATCCTTCCAACGCAAACAGTGAAATTAGTCTGACACAGACATCATCCCTAATGAAGAAGACTGGACAAGTTTGACATACTTGACACAGTCACCAAGGTTCCTGAAGACAATTGATGCTTTTGATCTTTGATCTTCTAGCACATTTGTACAAGCACTTAGTGCTATTTCAACCTAATTACTGGCTAACCAAAGACTATTTACATGCTGAAAGAGTGCTGACTCTGCCTCTTTCAGTTTACACCAGCTGTGCATCACAATCCCTTGGTTCATTACTTCTTTACTGTCTCAGTACCTCTGGGAAATCCTGTAAGGTTTTATTCATAAAATATACTGCACTACATTTGAAATGCACCAATATGCAATTTAAAGAATGAATTGGATTTGAATTAATTATACAGACCTATAATTGCACTAATGTATACTTTAAATACTGCACCACAAATGGTACAGATTGTTTCTGCTTATGAAGATAATTATATGCTTCCCCAATTACATAAAACCATTAGATATTCTTCAGATTTCAGATGTCTTGTTCCCTCCTTTCTTTCAAAGACTCCCAGGAAAAGTTGAGCTCAGGTGTAATAGGTTGTTTTTCTTTCAGTATTTTTAAAAATTATTCACACACTTACCAAAGCGTGAGCACTGAAAGCACAGATTATTATTTATGGTGGGTGCATGTGTGCATGTGCGTGTGTATGTACATAGGATATCTTGCTTTTCATGAAGTTCCTTAGCTAGAATGCTTAGTTACACTCATGCAAGAGGCAAGGATTTCTTAGGATGATATCTTTTTTTGACCCAACTCTGCAGGTCTTGCATTTGAAAGCTTGTCTAACTTTATCCCAACTACAGAGCTGGTCCAATAAAAGGTATCACCCTAGGAAATCCTTGCCTCTTATATAATTTCTGGACTACTACAGCTACAATATCACTTTTACGCTATAGTTACACTAATCCAGGAAGTACTCCTGCTTGCTGACTGCTGGTTAATCAACAAAGAGGTTGGCTTTCATGGAGGCTGCATGTGCTGCCATTCTGGATAGAGGATGAATGCTGCAATGCCCATGGTGAAGCTAAGTAATGACTAGGGATGATTATTTTGGTTGATGGCTACTTGTTTAAAAGAACAATGCAGTTTCTCTTGCCAAAATAATCGTGTTTGTATTTACTTTGAATATGCTAAAGAAAACATGTGTATGTTAAACAATGGGTAAATAAGTCTGCATCCTGGTTCCTTTGGCACCATATGTGGATTTTGAGGGAGGCAAGGCAGAGTAGAAAAGAATACATCCCTAGGCTAAATTAACTAGGGTTACCATATGTTTGGGTTTTCCTGGACATGCCCTCTTTTATGGCCCCATGTGCTGCGTCTGGGCGGGTTTTTTAAATGCAAGCAAAATGTCCTGGATTTCCTCCCCCAGTCCGTTTTCAACACGATTGCTGCTAGGTAGAACTACAGTTCCCAGAATACCTAGCGACACACGTGCGTGACTGGGAGCTGAGGTTGCGATTTTGCTTTGCCCACTGGTGGGAGCAGGGGGAGGGAGATCCGAGGCAACAGGGAGCACAGAGGTTCAGGAGTGAGGGGCACTGGCAGGGCTGGGGAACGGGGGCAGGGGGCTGCAGATCAAGATTGAGGGGCATGGGGGAGGTGGGGTGGGACAGGTGGCCATGGGTTGGATGCGTGGAGCACTGGTAGTGCCAGGGGACTGCGGGTTGGGAGTGAGGGGCATCAGCAGGGAGGATGGGGCAGGGTACTGCCTTTTGGGAGTGAGATGCACTGGCAGGGCTGCAGGGTGGGGCTGTGGCTTGTCAGTGAGGGACAGCAGAATGGGCAGGGGCAGGGCACCTGTGTGTCCCGCCCCCCCCATCAGATTCCTCCTGCCCCGCCCCTCTCATCCCCCCGCCACAGGTGTCCTCTTTTTTGGACCTGGAAATATGGTAACCATAAATGAACATCACTCCAGCTGAATCAGCTGATAATGTAAATGCTAAAGGGCCATTGGCAAGTTAAAATCATGGTTCAGATTTCATTGGCCTGCGCTACCTTCTTTTACAGTACTCTCATACACCAGTCAGCTGAAAACTGATGGAATCTTCTGTCAGGTGAAAGTAGCCCCTTATGTAAGGAGGGGGCATTTTCCTGAATTCTTTGTGCTTAGTTTTCCAAGTGGGAACATAGTCCCAAGTACTCTTAACATTTCTTAATTTATGTTACTTACACCCTACATTATGGAAATGGAACCTTTTAAAATCAAATTTACTTTTTGCCATTCATGATTGTTTCCTCCTTGCAATGCAGTTTGGGCAAGTGAGTTTAACTAGTCTTTATGATCAGGTTGTGCTTTCTAGCTGATACAGGCTTAAATCCAAAATGGGGGCTGATGCTGGAAGTATCTAAGTGTTCTCATCCTGTAGGCTGTGGGAACTTTGTAGAGAATAGTTTAATGGTGGGAACCAAGACTTTATTTTTATAAAAGACACTTCAATTAATATTTTGCACAATATAGTATTTAGGCCTAAACTAATTCTCATATTCTAGGTGAGAGCAACTTCAGTGGCAGCACATTTAAACTATTGTAGACACATTATATGCTTTGCTTGTCTGGCTAATCTTTATTTTATTTTATTTTTGTATGTAACCCTAAAAGCCCTTTGGCAATCCAGATGCACTGACCGCACTTTCTGAAGTCTCTCATAATAAACTTGGCAGTAAAGTGAGAACTACAAACATATCTGGGGGCAGTTCATGAAGTAACAGTTTTGGCAGTGCTCCCAGCCCCTGGCAGCTTGGGGAGTTCAGGCCTGAACTAGTTTTTCACTTGGCAACAAAACACTTGATTGCTAGACCTCCAAGATAGCCCTTATAAAGAGACTGTATATACTTAACAAACATTCTAAGTGCATAGAGTTATGCACAAACTAATCTGGACTGAAGATTTAAATAATGGTTACCAGGGATCCTGGTTTTTTCTGGTAAAAAAAAAACAACAAAACCCCCCCAATTTTAATCCATATGATTAAAATGAAACACCTCTAATATATAGACGCATATATAATTGGGTTTCATTCTAAACATGAAAAAATGTGGATTTTGGGTTACTTTATTATTGCAAATATTGGGGATTGTTTTTTATCAGACAAAACCAGGATCCCTGGTAATTACTACAAGTTGTCCAACATTCTTAATTCTGATCTTGAACTTTTAGTATCCAAGTGTTTTATGTGTAGGTAGTTGGGAGACGAATGTAAATCTGAGTTAAAGGTCCTTGTACTAGCTTCTGAAAAATACTGCTTCATGTACTTTCTATTTCATTTCCTTCCTGATTAAAAAATTCTTCAAGGCACTGAATTTCCTGCAACATAATCAGATGTGGCTTTTCTGGGTACCAGTTAGTTTTGAAAGCAGAGATATGGTAGCACAAAATCTAGTAGTTTAAAGGGTAGTTTGAGGTTACCTTTAGAATAATACATGAGAATGTTAAAAGGGTCCATTTTGCAAGGCCTCAAGCTTGGATGCTTATTCAGATGTATTCAAATCCCTTTCGTCTAGATTATGGGGTAGGAAATCCCACAAAGTCTATCAAACATAATAATTTGTAGGTTCTCATACTTGGTATAGCTTTAATCTAAAATTGTTTTTCTAGGCATAGCAATACATTTTTCAAATTTATGATGAGACCTGTCCTACTTAAACGGGTAGATGTATTTTGAAAATTTTACTTGTAATTTTTAGGGCTGATAGCTAGTTAGCTAGATAGCTAGCTATCATCTATCTAACAAGCAGAATGAAGTTATTTATTCCCTAATGTTTAATGAGTTTCTACACTTTAAAATGCCCCCGGGCCATTGCAGAACTAAAGAAAAACATTTTTTTTTTTTATGAGCAGCTGCTTGCTTGTCATTCAAACAGTGGCTGCCCAAAGGTGCTCTGACGTGTGGAATCTTGGAAGCAGACCAGTAGAAATGAATTAGTGGGCAGAGGATGAGTGACGCAGCCATAGGTGAACAAATACAATTTATCACATGGTCACTGCTGCAGAGTGTATTTGTGTACAGTTTTCTAAAAATCGCTTAACAGCTTGGCAATGAGCCTTCTGCTGACAAGAGTAAATTGAAGAGGTTTCATTGGCCAGATTTTGTGGAAGTACCTAAATACCTTTAAAAATCTAGTCTTAAGCTGTTTTGAAGTCCACGGCTGTTTTGAAGTCCATGGCAATTAGTGTGTGTTTAAGTGCTTTTCTGAGCTGAGGCCTGAATCAATACCTTCAAATTTATGAAACTTGGGAGCTAACAGCTTTAGATTCTCATCAACAGAAATGCTGGGGCAAGACAGCACGTTTTCTTTATTAACAATACCACTGTTCTGTCTTTACTTTCTGCTTTGTGTTCCATGAATCTCTATGAAACCCACAAGACAACCTCTGTTTGCTGTAAAATTATGATCTCAAATTGAAGGGCTAAATGTAGGGCATGACCAGACAGCCTCCCCAGTTATCAAGGAGCTGTTAAGCATTATGATCACTGGAAACTCCTAACAGATTTTCAAAGTAAAACCATGTTCATGTGAAAGGTAAATAAGGACCTGAGTTTTCGACAGGACATACCATTACTGTCAGACAGCTCTTTCAAGAGCAAATATAAACATTCTGTGGCTATTTGATTGCTTAGCTGGTGTACAATGTTAACTTGTAGTTAAGAAATAAAACAGTTTATGAAATAGGGATGCAACTCCATAAAATAGGCCATTTATATAAAATGCTACAATTGTTAGGCTGCTGTAATGGCGATTTACTGCCACACTATCTGATAACCCAGCAGTGATATGAATGTTATAAAAAAAAAAATTCACTGCATAGATAGGTTACTCTCAAAGGCATTATTCTGCTTTATAAATATGGACCTAGCTGGGGCCTCCATTTTGTTTTGTGGGTTGGACTAGATGACTTTCTGAGGTCCTTTCTAGTCCTATTTTCCTTGTTTCTGTGAAATGCACCACATGTTAAAAATATGCACTAACTACAGCATCTTACATCTTTTAATACTGATTAGAACTGAAACCTTGGGGGTAATTTAATTCTTGCACTCTTAATTTTGAAATAAGTGCATGTGTGTGTGTGTAGAATCTGTAAAATAATAAAAAATTATAGTACTGTATTTTAATAGGTAGAAAACTGCAATAATCTCTTAAAATCAGTGGGGTTTTTTTACTTGGGTGTTAAGTATACACACTAAAAGACTGAATATGTATCTGATCTGAAAATTAACATGCATTGGGGTTCCAATGCCTGTTTCATACATGCTCTATCTAGTGTGCTGCAAATATTTGTGAGATTATCATTATTTATTAATGATATGAGTATAGCTGCGACAGGGTGGATGAACACGGGTTGGCAAGCAAGAAGGGATTTTGTGTCAGATATCTTCCATCTAGACAATTGGGGCATTTATACACATGGTCCAGGAGTTGGGGTCGGGGGGAGCAGGTTAATTAGAATGGCTCTGAGAGTCACTCTAATTAAAAACCCAGAGCATCTCATGTATGAGGTTTACATAAAGTGCCTCCACTGCCATTTTGAAGTGCAGGGATGGTGATACATGAGACACTGGAGGCTGCTGGAGCACAGTAATTGTCACGCTCCAGCAGACTCAATTAATTGGAATTACAGAGCGTCAGAGCAGCCTCCTTGCTTGTGCATAGGCACCCTTGGTTTGGAGGCAAGTGTGACTTCATGGGTGGCTGATTAGAGCTCTTGGTACAAGATAAGTAATTAGTCATCTTCTGTCTTAATGTGTGTCAGTCAAGATTTGCAGTAACTGTACTTCCTAACCAAATACAGGTTTTAATCCCTTCAAATTTTGGACTAAATCATCAAATCCCCAGATTACTCATAAGGAAAAAAAGATGTATGAAAACAACAAGCTCAGAAGGGATCTTTCTAGGGAAGGGGTTAAGGACCTCTGCTGCTCACTGGTGGTCTGAGCATCGTGGGGGCATCCTCTCAGAGGGTCTGGCCATCAGCGCACTTTCCAAAACTCCCCACCCTCACACAACTCTATTCTTTCTAGAAGCTTTATACCTATTAACACAATGCAGTATCCAGTACCCCCACAGTTACTGCTTCTATCATTTTAAATGAGGTTAAGTGGTGTATGTGGGTGTATGTGGAGGCTCGTATTCATCATTCAGATTAGCACAGGTAGAGTTTTCTGTCCGGGTTTGTGTGACTAATGCATAGCTTGCATTTCACCTACACATTCTAATATGAAATGATTTCACTGATATGAAAACAAAAGAACCAGAGAGGGGAATGTATTACATCTTCCCACTGACACTGAGTAGGGAACACGTTTGCATTTTTGTTGAAGTTGCAGTTTGCCTTCTTATTTGCTTTGTTGTATGATAGAAATTGTCTTAACTATCTTATCTATAAAATCATGTGTTTCACGGCTAAAATACTGTACTTTGGTAGTCATACTACAACTTTCATGTGACTGTGGCTTTCCATTTGGTTTAACATTTAAATGCCTACTGACTAATGTATTGAAAGGAGAAAGTGAGCATATCTATATGCACCAAGTAAGTTCTTGCACCTTACACTGTGGTTGCAAAGTTACATAAAAGCCACACTTCAATTGATATTTAAAAGCTGAATTAACATCTTTATAACACCGCAAGAAATCAGTGACTCAGAATACAGTGGAACATTTCTAATTGGGATGAATGTCTGGGATTGATTGCAGACACCAAATATTGAGAACTGGCAAGAGAACAAATAGTAAAAGAAATAGTGCATAACAAAAAGTGTTATTTTAATTTATTTTGTCAGTCTCTATGACAAAGATTTTAATCTGAAGTGTAAAGACATAGAAGGCATTGAGAAATCTCAAAGATGAGCAAATGATTTATGATGTCCAGGTTGTAAAGTCTCATGATACTGCTTTTTGATGGTGCCTGGAGGCCAACAGAATTGGATTCATGTTATGCTAGGCACTATGCAAGCCTAGCAAGCCTCTCCCAAACAATGCATAATCTGATTTTTTTAAAAAAAGAAGAAGGGAGTCTTATCCCCATTTTCCAGAGAGGAATTTAGGGAAAATGAATTAAAGGGACTTGCTATATGGTACACGATTCTAGGGTAGAAATGGGAATGGAACCTCTACTTCCTGGGTCAGTCATTTCCTCACCTCCAAGACTTTGCTTATAAAGTTAGTCTGTATTGATTCAAAAGAAGAGTAGGAATGGAGTGTGCGTACATAGTCACAAGTTATATATTTCTAGGTCATGCTATGCATAGTTTTAGCCAATAGTAATAGTTTATTTTCATTAAGATTCACCTACATTCTAATTAACACTTGCTTTCACAGATGTCCAGACTGCTTGCCTCATGTATGGATGTGCAAGATGCCTTTCCCATCTTATTCTTGTGTACTCTATCAGGGGCCAGGCACATTTGCAGTCCTGAATTAATTTGAGAGGAAACAGCCTTCCCTGCAAACAGGAACGCAAACTACCTCAAAGGAGGCAGGATTATTGTTCTCCTGCAAGAGACCACATAATTGGCTGGCTGTGAAGGAGAAAGATTGCTGTCCTTGCCTGATTGCCCATACAGAATAGTTCAGTCAACATGCTCAGCCTCTCCACATTTTTAGACTGAAACCACATGCTGGTCCCTACACAGAGCTGCCTCTTTATGGGACTATTTGGCCCCTGTAGATCCAAATTGTTCCATAAACTCTATCATTCAGTGTAACAAATATTTTGCAGCTGATATCTTGTTATTATAATAGTTGAGTAAGTTTTACAGAAATAACCCTAAGTGTGATAATTATAAAAGGTTTCAGGCATTATCCTATTAGTCTGATCCTTAATTTTCAAATATTGCCCCAATAATTGCCCATCCTGCAATCTTGAAAATAAGCATTCTTGACTCTTGGATACACAGTGCTGAAAAAAGTTATTTCAAGATAGGTTGTTTATGTTGTGTTATCTGCAGTACACTATATTGAAAAAACATGACAGTATAATAAAGTAATAGTTCTTTTTCATTATAGGAGGTACAAAGGATCATTGCTGGAAGAGAGTCACCAGTATCAGAAAAGGGTAAGCACTAGCTTATGATAAGAATCATTTGAAATTCTGCTAATGTGTTCTTTGAAGTAATGCAATTTCTTTTATCTCTAGCTATAATGGAAGCACCGTGGTCAGACCCTTCAAAGAAAAACAAACCTGAGAAACAGCCCTTTGCCCATCTTATTATTGATGATAAGAACATTCCAACTGGTGAGTCCACTTCTAATCAAATACGTCTAAGAATATTATGTCTGTATTAAATACTGACATGTCTAAAATATTAAGTAATATATAAAGCATTGAGGCCAAGACAAAAGCCAGGCATTGAACAGATAAACAACATTTGCAGTTTGGTGTGTTCAGTACAAACATTGGGACTTGGCCCATCTTAGAATTCTGACAGATGCTTCCAAATCGCAGGATGTGGTGCTTAGGGGGACTTTATTAACTGGGACCTCTGCAGTGTACAAGCAGTCCAGCAAATTCCTGAAATGTGTTGGGGATAACTTTTTGGTACAGGCAGCAGAGAGGTCAACTTGGAGGTGAGGGGAGGGGAAGCCCTTCTTGACTTGACTACTAACAGGGAGGAATTGGTTTAGAATGTGAAGGTGGAAGGTAACTTGGGTAACAGTGACAATGAAATGATAGAGTTCAAGATCAAGGGAAGGGAGGAGGGAGAGCACCAGAATAAGGATATTGGACTTCTGAAAAGCAGACTTTGACAACCTCAGGGAACTTGTGGGCAGGATCCCTTGGGTGGAAAGTCTGAGGGGAAAATGAATCCAGGAGAGATTACTGTACTTTAAGGAGTCCCTTTTAAGGATGCAGGAGCAAGCTATCCCAATGTGACAGTAGCATGGGAAGTGCAACAGGAGTTCAGCCTGGCTTGACAACCATTGTTTCAGTCGGTTGAAACTCAAAAAGGAATCCTACAAGAAGTGGAGGCATGAATATCACATGCCCCCAGTGGCTGGGGAGGCACGGTAGCGGTAAGCATGGAACTCCCACAGGTGCTGCCGGTGCTGTCGGCAGGGGGGGAGTGGGGGGAAGGCAGTGGCAAGTGCTGACCAGGGGTTGGGGACCACCCACAGACAGCGTCAGTGGTGGCCAGCAACAATTGCTGACTGCCTGCAGATGCCGCTGGCAGTGTCGGCAGCAAGGGGGCAGTGGTGGCAAAGGGTGACTGCCTGCAGGCAGGGGTGATTAGAGGGTGCAATGTCATGCTCAGGGGGTGCACATGCACCTGCATGTACCCCCTACACATTGCCAATGAGTGGAGACTTGGTCATAGTACCAGGAAAGAGCATGCAGGGAGAAAATTAGGAAGGCCAAGGCACGATTCGAGATGCAGCTGGCAAGGGACATAAAACGCAATAAAAAGGAATTCTACAAGTATGTCAGAAGTAAGAGGAATACCAGAGAAACCAGCCTTATGGTATGAAGATGGCAATCTAGCTATAGATGATGCAAGGAAGGCTAAAGTATTGAATGCCTTTCTTTTTTCACTCTTCACAAATTGGGGGTTGGCAGCAAAAGGAGTCATTCTGGGGAAGGAGGCAAACAACATAGACTGATGGAATAGGTAAGGGATTACTTAGAGAACATAGATACATTCAAGTCAGCAGGGCCAGATGGGATGCACCATAAGCAGAGACCTACTTAAATCACAGTGAGACTAAACAGTTTTTGTGGGTTGGTTGCAGCATAAAGAGCAAATTCTGCGGATATTTCCCAGAACTGCTCTGCTAGCCCTCCTCCTTGGCACTGATTGGTGCAGAGATCCTAATGGGGGAGGAGGGACAAGCTGTATCACCCTTTCAGCTGGTGTCTTCCGTCCCAGCAAGCTGTAAAGCTGGGCCTCAGTGGCAGAAAGGACCACTGGCTCCCACTGGGGAGCCAGCATTTTAACTTTATGATTTTTTTTTAAAGTTGATTTTGTGGACAATCCCAGATTTTGCAATTTCTGTGAAATCCGCAGAATCAAAATTGATTCCCTAACCATAAGGAACAGAAGGAATTGGCTGCGGTCATTTAAGAGCCATTGACTATCTTTGAGAACTCATGGAGGTTGAGTGAGATCCTAGATGACTAGAAAAGGCAAATATAGTATCCATCTTTTAAGAAAGAGAAGAAGGAAGATATGGGGAATCACAGACCAGTCAGCCTGACCTTGATACCTGGAAAGATCAAGGAGCAGGTCCTATTGTGAGGTATTTACAGGTGATCAGGATCAGTCTGTGTGGATTGACCAAGAGCAAGTCATTCCTGATCAACCTGATTTCCTTCTATAGGGTGGATTGGGGGAGAACAGTGGATGTGATATACCTTATCTTTAGCATGGCTTATAATACCATCTTCCAGAACATCCTCATTAATTAGCTATGGAAATACAGACAAGATGAAAGTAATGTAAGGTTGTATCATTGTATTCAGTGACTACTCATCAGTGGCTCAATGTTTAGCTGGGAGGAGGTATCAAGTAAGGTTCTCCAGGGGTCTGTTTATGTCCAGTATTGTTTAGAACTTCATTAATGATTTAGACAATGGGATTGAGTGCAGGTTTAGCAAATTTGCAGACAGCACCAAGTTGGGTGGCGTTGCAGACACTCTGAAGGGTTGGGCTAGGATTCAGAATGACCTGGATAGCCTGGAATGGAAAAATTGTTCACAGTCAACCAAATTAAATCCAGCATGGACAAATGCACTTGGGACAGAACAACTGCATGCCCAGATACAAGCTGCTGAATGACTGGCAAGGCTGCAATGCTGCAGAGGGACCTGGGGATTACAATAGACCATAAGCTGAATATGAGCCAAGAGTGTACTCTTGTTGCAAAACACCCCACAGCATATTGGGTTATATCAATGGGAGTGTCACTTGCAAATCAAAGAAAGTGATTCTTGCACTCTATTCAGTACTGGTCAGGCTATGTTTGGAGCAGTGTGTCCAGTTTTGGGCCCCACGTTTCAAGAAGGGATGTGGACAGTTTGGAAAGAGTTCATTGGAGAGGAACAAAAATGATTAGACGCCTGGGAGGTAAGATTTGTCATCAAAGGTTGAAAGAACTTAGGTTATTTAGTCTTGAGAAAAGAAGACTGAGGGAAACATTTGATAAAAGTCTTTAAATACCTGCAGGTTGATTATAGAGAGAGTGGAGAAGGCCATCGGGAACAGGACTAGGAGCAGTGGCCTCAAGCTTCAGCAGGGGAAATTTAGGTTGGAGATTAGGAGGAATTTCCTGACAATGAGGGTGGTCAAATACCATATTTTACTCAAATATAAGATATCCTTGATTATAAGATGACCCCCCCACTAATTAGATTCTATATATGGGAAAAATTATGAATTTGTTTAATTTTCCAGGCATAGAATCTAATTATTGGAGGTTTGCCTTGAATTTGTCCCCCTCCTAATGCTATAGCAGGGAAAATAAGTCTTGGGGGGGGGGGTCACGTAGCCTCTGTACCCTCTGCCTCCCCCAGCTTCTTCCCTCTGCAATACATTTCCTTCCTCCTTACTGTCAGACCCTACTCTCCCTGAGCACGTGGAAGTGAGGAGCAAATCTGGAAACAAAGACCTTGAAATAAACATAGCTGTAGTAATTGGCGTATAGTACCCATACGCTTAGTTTACCTAGAATTGATGCATTTTACCTTTTTTGAAACTGTTGCAAATTTTAGCACAGGTACTCCATAAACACACTTTTAAGCAGCACTTTAGCACCTACTTATATGTAGTAAAAACTATGTATAATATTAGTCCAAAGACAAAAGGCTCATGATTTACCATATAGTTCATTGGGCAGTGCCCCAGTAGAGTTAACAGCATTTCAGACCATGGTGACTCCACAGCTCAGCTTGTCTCCGTATGCATGTGTATACCACCACCCGCCCTCCCTCCCTGCCAAAAAAGGATCCATGTGCTAATTAGGCCCCCACTCATGACTGGAACCACCTGTTTTTGTAAGGGACACATGAGCATGCACACGTCTGGTATTTCAGTACCTGCAGGCCACACCCATTCCCTCCTGGGGGAACAACTGCCCGTTTACTTATGTGCACATGCACATATATGTACGTACACACACTCCCATCAATATGTTTGCCCAGTCTGTGCCAAGTATTTTATAATCATCACAGTGTTGGCTGCATTTAATCGTCTTCACACTTAGTTTCTATTACTGAGCATATGCTGCTTTTGGCAGCAGTTTAATGATAGACAGTATATTTAGTGAGGTTTTGCTGTGTGTGAATACAAGACAAAGGGCTTTTTTCCCCATGCCGACTGAAGTGAGAAACCTTGTCTTGTATTCAAGTAAATACGTGCAACCCCTGCTTAGCACTCTCTTAATTGGTTCTGGAAAAAACAAGCGTTAAGCAGACCGCACTAAGCAAAACCCAATTTCCCATAGAAATTAATGTAAATAAATAAAATTTGTCCTGCCCCACCCTGGGCCCCCACTGGCTCTGGCCCCGGGGCACTGGCACGGGCCCCACGCTCAAGTCTGCCCCGCCTGCCCACTCGCTGCCACTCACCGCTTCTTGCTGCCGCTGCCACTTCTCCCCCCCCTGTTTGATGACTG